TGTTGGATTTGGTTTGCCGGTATTTTATTGAGGATTTTCGTGGCTACAATAATCAAAACAGCATGTTACTGGTACCAAAACAGAGATTTAGACCAATGGAACAGAACAGATGCCTCAGAAATAACACCACACATCTACAACCATCTGATCTTTGACAGACCTGACAAAAACAAGCAATGGGGAAAGGATTCTCTATTTAATAAATGGTGTTGGGAAAATTGGCTAGCCATATGCAGAAAGCTGAAACTGGATCCCCTCTTTACACCTTATACAAAAATTAACTCCAGATGATTTAAAGATTTAAACATAAGACAAACACCTTAAAAACCCTAGGAGGAAGCCTAGGCCATACCATTCAGGACATAGGCATAGGCAAGGACTTCATGACTAGAACACCAATAGCAATGGCAACAAAGCCACAATAGACAAATGGAATCTAATTAAACTAAAGAGCTTCTGCACAGCAAAAGAAACTATCATTAGAGTGAATCAGCAACCAATAGAATGCAAAAAAATTTTTGCAATCTACCCATCTGACTAAGGGCTAATATCCACAATCTACACAGAACTTAAACCAATTTACAAGAAAAAAAAACCATCAAAAAGTGGGCAAAGGATATGAACAGACACTACATTTATGCAGCCAACAAACATATGAAAAGAAGCTCCTCATCACTGGTCATTAGAGAAATGCAAATCCAAACCACCTTGAGATACCATCTCACGCCAGTTAGAACAGTGATCATTAAAAAATCAGGACACAACAGATGCTGGAGAGGATTTGGAGAAATAGGAATGCTTTTACACTGTTAGTGGGAATGTAAATTAGTTCAGCCATTGTGGAAGACAGTGTGGCAATTCCTCAAGGATCTAGAAATAGAAATACCATTTGACCCAGCAATCTCATTACTGGGTATATACCCAAAGGATAATAAATTGTTCTATTAAAAAGACACATGCACACGTTTATTGCAGCACTGTTCACAATAGCTAAGACTTGGAACCAACCCAAATGCCCATCAATGACAGGCTGGATAAAGAAAATGTGGCACATACTTACCATGGAATACTATGCAGCCATAAAAAAGGATGAGTTCATGTCCTTTGAAGGGACTTGGATGAAGCTGGAAACCATCATTTCAGCAAACTGACACAGGAATAGAAAACCAAACACTGCATATTCTCACTCGTAAGTGGGTGTTAAACAATGAGAACACATGGACACAGGGAGGGCAACATCACACACCAGTGCCTATGGGGGGTGGAGGGCTACAGCAGGGATAGCAGGGGGTAGAGTGATAGGGGAGGGCTAACGTTAGGAGAAATACCTAATGTAGATGACAGGGGAATGGATGCAGCAAACTACCATGGCATGTGTAAATAATACCTATTTAACAAACCTGCGTGTTCTACACATGTACCCCAGAACTTAAACTATAAGAATAAAAAAAAAATAGCACATGTATCCCAGAACTTAAACCATAATAAAAAAAAAATACAAAAAAACAAATACAAAAATTAGCTGGGTGTGGTGGCACATGCCTATAATCCCAGCTACTTCGGGAAGCTGAGGCAGAAGAATCACTTATATCTGGAGGCAGAGGTTGCAGTGAGCTGAGATTGTATCACTGCACTCCAGCTTGCATGACAGAGGGAGACTCTTTCTCAAGAAAAAAAAAATTAGGATGCTGTTCATCCTGACAGTAACATCTAGGCCAACAAACTCTGGAAGTCAATACTACCGGGCCAAAGGCACCTACCTCACTGACACATGTGCACTTTCCGATGTTTTCCTGTCTTTTATAACATATGCTGTGGTAGTGGAGGCTCCCAAGTTCTACCTTCCCAGAAGGTGTCAAACATGAACTCAATCTTGTTCTTGTTCATGGGGCTTTTTCTTTTTTTTTTTTTAAGTCTCGCTCTGTCTCCCAGGCTGGAACACAGTGGCGTGATCTCAGCTCACTGCAACCTCCACCTCCCAGGTTCAAATGATTCTCCTGCCTCAGCCTCCAGAGTAGCTGGGACTACACGCGCGTGCCACCACACCAGGCCAATTTTTTGTATTTGTAGTAGAGATGGAGTTTCGCCATGTTAGCCAGGATGGTCTCGATCTCCTGACCTCGTGATCCACCTACCTCAGACTCCCAAAGTGCTGGGATTACAGGTATGAGCCACTGAGCCCCACCACGAGCCCTTTCAATACAGGTACACAAAGTGAAAAGCTGCTAATTCACCACTCCACCAGAAAAATAAATAGTTTAATTTTGATTCTTTGAAATAACTACTGCATGGAATATAATCTGTATATCTTTGGTTAAACTATTTTCTCACTGACATCAACATTTACATTCTCTCATTTATTATCACTCAGGCCATTATTCTCTTATTCTTCAAGTATTCCCAGAAAAAGTTTCTAACATGAAAAGAGAACAGAGACAAATTTCAAGGTTTAATAAATTTTATCTTGATAACATCAAAAACAAGTTTAGCTTTGACATTGCAATATAAAAAATACATTAGTCTTCACATTAGTTTTACATGGAAATATATAATTATTTGAATATTTAAATATAGCTTTTCTTTAACCAAAAAAAAAAGTGTTACTCAGAGCCCTAGTTACATAAATAATTTAAATGCACAAATGCAAAAACACACTTCACACGATATTGTCCACATACTGTAGAACTCAGGACAATTACAAGAAAAACCTATGCAAGATACTGAACAAGAACAAGATTAATAAAACACTCATTATGGTTGTAATTTGACTTTTTACTATTAAAAGAATTTAATGCATTCTTGAATACACAAAAACATCAATAGTTTTATCTAATCTGCAAATTAAGCCAACATTTATTTAGACAAAGGGGCACATCTTGTATCCTACCAAATTCTGAAAGTAATTCGTTTCCAATTTAACTTAAATTATAAGTTTTACAATTTCAAACTTGTCTAAAATAATCATGATTACAAGAACTTAGTAAGCATTTCAAGAAATTTAAACAAAATAGTCAGTACTGCACTGTACTTTTATGTTCGGTAATATAAAATTTAAATATAAGCCTTCTCCCTGCCCCCACTGAAAATGGTACTTAGAAGGGCTTCCAATGTGAAATGGTAACACTTTTGTAACTTGAAATTTTGATTACTTGAATTATAAGAGCTGTTCTCTCTGCATGATGTAATTACAACAGCTATGACACATCATATGTACTATTTCCATTTGAGCTCTTGCTTTTAAACTTACACTGAAAGAATGCAGAATGTCTATTAGTAATATTTAAGGGAACTATATGTCTATTCCATAGGGTAAAAAGACACCAATACACAAAAGTAGAATATTTTATATATCGGCTATTTATTTCCTAGTCAGTAGGACAAAGCTCTGTTCTTAAATTAAAATTGGAGGATTATTTTGAAATAGTGGCTCACAGTGATCTTTTAAGAAGAGAAGTGAAAATATATTTGTATATGAGGAGGCAAGGTTGAAGGAAATGTGATATATGCTGCTTTGCAACTAAAAACGCAAACATTTGTCTTTTTTTAAAACATAATTACTATTTCAATTTAGAAGTACAGAAATCAAAACAGAACTCCATCATAGCATACACACAGGTTAAATAACGGCCCCTGAAATAAAACCACATTTAGAAACCAACTGTTATACTACATTTCATTATTTCTAAGGTAACACATTTTAAATTCTGAAATCAAGATAATGGTTTAACATTGACCTTAGTTTCAATAAAATATGGCAGTCATACAATATAGCTGGAATTCATGTTTCCCCTTAACATTAAAGATAGAAGTTCCAGGATCTTGGCTCAACATGAATGAATGACAACTCAATGAATTTGTACCAACTCAGCCATTCCACCTGACTAAAGATTCTGGATGTATTCTGACTATCCCAGACTCAAACTGCATCTCATTAACATCTTTTATTTGAACTGTTAAAATCTGTTAACAAGCTTAAGACAAACTAATGTATAAATACAGGTTTCCACTTGGAAAATGGGCCTCCACAGAGGTTACCAGTTTTATTCAATTTTTTGAACTATTACGTAATTTTCTAATGAGAATTAATGGCCTGCCCAAATACTACCAAGCTAATAATTTCAGTTCAAGCTATTAAAAAATGATATGGTAATGTCTAAACCACTTTTAAGAGATAAGGCCACAAAGTAACCTGGATTTTCATATTAAACCACCAACTCTTCACGTGGAGGGGGGAGTGAAGGTGGTTAAACAAAGAGCGGGGGGAATGCCTAAACACACGGGCACAATTATTTTCCCCATTAAGATCTAAAAGTCTAACCCAAAAAACCTACAGAGACTGTATGCATGCATGTGTCCAAATGATAAAGTAGACACTTGCAGATCCAATTTTTTAAATTTGTTTTTACTTTTTTTGAGATGAAGTTTCACTCTTGTTGCCCAGGCTGGAGTACAACGGAGCCATCTCGGCTCACCGTAACCTCCGCCTCCCAGGTTCAAGCGATTCTCCTGCCTCAGCCTTCCAAGTAGCTGGGATTACAGGCATGCCCCACCACGTCTTGCTAGTTTTTTGTATTTTTAGTAGAAACAGGGTTTCTCCATGTCAGTCAGGCTGATCTTGAACTCCTGACCTCAGGTGATCTGTCCACCTTGGCCTCCCAAAGTGCTGGGATTACAGGCATGAGCCACTGTGCCTGGCCTTGCAGATCCAATTTAAATGAAGCAGGAGTTCATGTTATGCATAAAAAAATCACCAAGCCATTTTTTAAAACTGTATTAAAGATTATGGAATCTCATTTTCTGGAATGCTTTAAAAAGATAAATTATATTTCGTTTGTGTTCATTTAAGTCAACCCCACTCAAAAGTTGACATAATTCATCATAGTTCCTTCTTTATATTGTCCAATTAGAATACTATATTGACAATGCCACTCTGAAACACAAAGAATACAGGCACCTATGCATTTGTTCCAATTTTTAAAAAGTAATAATATAGCATTAATTAAGTTTGCTATATTCATTCTTACAATATTAAATTTGCTGGCATGAGAGAGAGAATCATAAAAAAATAAGTGGGATATGATTTGAGGGACAAAATTCTATATACTCTGCTAAATTATTTTGTGACATAAATTAAGATGAAGGTCTTCTACAGAAAATGTTGGACAAAATGTAAGGTTCATGTTGAATCTTAAAATGAAAGGACTCTAAACACTAATTTTAAATGAATATAAAAATTCTGAAAAATAATATTTATAGCAAAATAGTTCAAGTTTAGTTTTCTCACCAAAGTTGGGAAAGCTGTGTGCACAAAGTACCAAATATATTTCAATTGAAGTACTGAACCCTCAACTGGCCTGAACACAAAAACAACTTCTATTTTACCTCATTACCTCTCAATTTGTTTGCTAGCCGAGTCATCATTCTTTCATAAGGTTGTGAACAAGATGAACTTCTCAGATTATATGCTCTCACAGGTCCAGAAGAAATTCTCTTTTGGCTCTGGCATTTTTCATTCCTCTTCTTCTCCTCCTCCCTTTCTGCAATGCGGCTAGAAAAACGCACAGGTTGAGAAGAACGCGCAGGTCTAGAAGAACGCGCAGGTCTAGAAGAAGGCGCAGGTATAGAAGAAAGCGCAGGCACAGAAGAAGGCGCAGGTCTAGAAGAGCATGCACGTCTAGAAGAATGCACAGGTAGCTTCGGAGGAGGATTTGCGATAGCGCTTGACAGCTCTTCAGCACCAGCTGGTGAAACTGAGGAGTTTGAAAGCACGTTAGCTGTTCTCTTTGCCTTCTTTAGCCTACCGACAACAGTTTTCTTCTTCTTCGGATACATTCCAAAAAAAGCATACCTAGACTGACATCTATGATATAAAAAGGCAGAGTATTTTGACATATACTTTCTAATTACCTTACTTGGTTTGGTCCGAATTGAAGCTGATCGTTTCTCTGAAGCTTTTCTGGCTTTTTTCCGAGGAATAACTGGTTTACAAACCTTTTTGGGAAAACCTAGCTTACTACCACTAGCTCTCACCTTCTTCCCATGAATTTTCCTTTTACTTTTACTTTTGAAAAATTTATTTCTAACTGATTCTGGATTATTTAAATGATTTTTGACAACACCATGATTTAAAAAGGTTAGCTGTAAATTACTTTTCTTTAGAACCTCATGAACCTGCAGAACCTTTGATTCTTCCAGAAACAGAGAAGAGTCACTGGTTCTCTGATGTGAATTAAATCCATATCTTGCTGGTGCTGCCAGTAAAGGCACTGAAGCAGAGCTTTGTCCATCAGCATCATTATCTCCTGCGCTGGAGTTTAGGTTGCTCCTATTAAAATGAATTTTAACCCAGTTATGCCTCTCAAACTCTGGTACTATTATATTCAGGGGAGGATTAACTACAATTTGCTTAATCAAGGGCTCAAAATAATCAAAGATATTCCGTTTATATTTGCATATAAACTGAATATCATTATCCCAACTATGGTGCCTCATTTTAGGGAATTGGGGGCCTTCACCCTCCTTCAGTTTAATATTTAAAGAAGAAAGAACACAGACTAAGGCTTTGGATTGCATAGGCTTCAAAACTTTAGTACACGATGCAGGCAATTCAACTTTTGTCCCAATTTTGACATTCTTTTTGGTTTTTCTGTCATCCTGTAAACGTGAACACTTACTTTTTGGTGGGTCTTCCTCTTGTCTAATTATTTTTCTTTTCAACACTGGGTAATTCTTACAACTGCTTTGAGTACTATGGCTGATGTTCGCTGTCTGGCATTCAGAAGCCACAGGCCACTGTTGTGTAGAAGGATTCTCTGCTGGAGGATGACGATGGCATGGTTGATCTAAGGCCACTGACAAGTCATCAGTATCTGAACTACCACGTACAGTATCATCACTCTCGGACAGAGCTTGAATTGGTGCAGCGTCCTCCTTACCTTTCAAGTCAGCCCAGGTAACCCTTTTCTTCTTCGGAAAAACTTTTGTGGTCTCACAGTCATCATCAAAGTAACAGTGGAAACGACCCTCCCTAAACTCCTTCACAAGAGCATTAATTTTTATGTCATCTTCTCTCATTATCTGAGACCATGTTTTCCCCACAAATGAAGGAGGTACATGAGGTAAGGCTTCAAGAACTGGTTCATCAGGATTATCTTCTATGATGTCCTTTCCTTTTTTCAGGTTCCTTACAGAATCAACCTTGGGAACAGAGCTTGGCTGGGAATCACAGTTCTTTTCTTTCAGGTCAAAAGATACCTTCTTGCAAGGATGTCTTTTCTTAACAGTTTCTTGAGGCTGATGAGTATCAGACGGAAGAGGGGGAGCACACTGAAAATTCATCTCAAAATCAACCGGTTCATGGCTCACACTTTGTAGATCTCCATGTTTTAACTTCGAAAGTTTTTTTTTATCAGCCCTTCGATGAAGCGCTGACTTAGAAGAGACACCAAAATCCACTGCAGCAGCACTAGATTGACAGCTCTTACCCTTTAGGCTAGCATTTCTTGGATCTTTCCGAAGGCTGGCTTCTTTGTAAGCTTTCTGCATTCGGTGAGTCTTTCGATGAGAAGTATCTTCCAAATAAAATTTTCCTTTAGAACCATTATATCCACAGCTACTATCTTCTGAGTCAATATATTTCACCATTTTCTTATCAGGTTCTTGTGACTCGTAAGTCATGGACTGATTAGAGGCATCAACATTAAAATTCATTTCAGAACCACAAGACTGACAACTTGGCTCTCCCAGAATAATATAGTCTTTCTTCCGGTTTATTATTTTGAAAGTCTCTTTGCATTGGCTTGTCATTGAGGGAGAAGAGGCTTTACAACTACATCTGACTTCAGAGGCAAAAGAGTCACAGCTCTTATCTTCTATATCCATACATTCTGTATTTATACAGTTGATATCTTTGACAGTCAATTGAGGTGGGTCAGTCACTAACTGAAGGGGAGTATCATCTGAAATTACTTCATAATCACCCTCACTGGGCATCACATTCACAAGTACCACCTTTGGAAGATGTGTTTCTTTGTCTGACCCTTGAAATTGGTTAACTACTATTTGAAAAGGAACATCAGAATCATATATCATTTCTGAATCAATAGGTTCATCAGTCTTTTCTTCCATGACAACATGTTGTTCCTTCTGAAGGTCTGCCTCTTTGTAAGTCACTTGAGGTGGGTCAACTTCTGACTGAAGATTATCGCAAGAATCACATCTTATTTCAGAACCACAGGTTTTACAGTTCTTCTTTTCTACATCATTATGATCCTTCTTTTGTAAGTTTATTTCTTCAACAGACACAGATTGATCAGTCACAAACTGAACAGGAATATGAGAAGTACAACTTACATCAAAATCACCTAGTTTATAGCTCTTATCTTCCAGGTAAATATGGTCTTCCTTCCAAAGATTTATTTTTTTGACAGATTTTTGAAGCCCATCAGCTACTGCCTGAAAAGAGTCACTGAAATCAGAACTTTCTTCAGGACTACAAGAATCACTGCTCTTATCTTCGAGATTGGCATGCTCCCCTTCCAAAATGTGTGGCTGTTTAATCACTGACTGAAGAGGGATGTTTGAAACATAAATTATTTCAGAATCACTGGGTGCATAGCTCTTCTCATCCAGACAAGCATGTTCCTCCACCAAAAGATTTAATTCTTGATTGACCCCTTGAATGTTACTAGTCATGGACTGAAGGGGTTCATGAGAATCAAAATTTATTTTGGAATCAGTAGGTTTGACAATCTTATCTTCCAAGTCAGCATGCTCTTTCCAAAGACCAACCTCTTTAGCTACTTCTTCAGGTTGGCCAGCCACTGACTGAAGAACATCAGAATCATACATAATTTCAAAGCCCTTAGCTTCATCCCTCCTATCTTCCATGTCAACATCTTCATCCTTCCAAAGGCTTATTTCTTTAACAGTTTCTCTCAGCCGGTCAGCTACTGACTGAAGAGGGTCATCAGAATCAAAACTTACTTCAGAACTACAACATTGATTGTGCTTATCTTCTAGTTCAATCTGTTCCTGCTCTAAAATAGCTATTTGAGGTCGCCTGACTCTTGACTGAGCCAAGAAACCAGAATCCACATTCATTTCAGAACAACTATATTGGCTGTTCTTAGCTTCCAAGTACATACGGTTTTCATTCCCAAGGTTTACATGTTTAATAGCTACTTGGGGTTGGTCAGCCACAGACTGGACAGAAACATCAGAATCATGTATTAATTTAGAAGTATTAGGTTCATTAATCTTATTTTTCAGGCCAATAACCTCTTCCTTCCATTGGTCTATTTTTTTAACTGCTTCCTGAAGTTGTTCAGAATTAAAAGTTATTTTAAAATCACTTGATTTGCTGTTTCTGTCCTTCAGATTAACATACTCTTCCCTCAAAAAAGCTAGCTGAGGTTGGTCAATCATTGACTGAGGTGGAATATTAGAATCCAGAATTATTTCAGAACCACTACATTTATTATTCTTGTTTTCTAGAACACATTGCTTCTTTCTGTTTGTTTTGTTAACAGCTGCTTGAGGTTTAGTTACTGAATAATGAAGGACACCAGAATCTAAACTTGTTTTCGAGCCACTGAATTCAGCACTTCTATCTTGGAATTCAGTATACTTTTCTCTTTGAAGCCATGTTTCTTTGACAATTACTTCAGGTTTGTGCATCGCTGACTGAAGAGAGATATCAGAATCCAAACCTGCTTCAAAAACACTCTTATTTTCTAAGTACATGTGCTCTTTTTTGTGAAGGTTTATTTCTTTAATGGGATCTTCACAATGTCCAGTCACTGAATGAAACATGAAATTAAAATCCAAACTTACTTCAGAATTGGTAGGTTCATTTTCCTTATTTTCTAAGTGTTTCTGCTCTTCTTTTTGAGGATATAGCTTTTTAACAGCTACTTCAGGAGAATTAGTCACTGAATGAAGAGGGGCATAGGAGTCCGAATTTATTTCAGAACCATTGGGTTCATCATTCTTCCTTTCTAAGTGAATGTACTCTTCTTTCTGAATTACTTCTTTAACAGCTACTTCAGGGTGATCATTTCCTGAATGAAGAGGAATATCAGAATCAAAAGTTATTTCAGAAACACAAGATTCATTACTTTTACTTTCCAGATCAACAGTTTCTTCCTCATAAACAGCTACTTCAGGTTGGTCAACTACTGAATAAAGAGGAATATCAGAATCAAATGTTATTTCAGAACTATCTGACTCACAGCTCTCATCTTCCAGGTCAAGGTGCCGTTCTTTTCCTTCGGCATCCAGCTGAGACTGCTCAGTAACTGACAGAAGAGGTGGGTCAGAATCAAATGTCAACTCAGAGCTGGAGCAATCGTAGCTCTTAACTTCCATGTCAATATTTAACTCTTTAAGATTTACTTCATCCAAAGCTTCTTGAGGCTCATCGTGGGCTGAATGATAAAGAGAAGCTGGAGAATCAGAACTTAGAGAAGTACTGCTAGACTGAACACTCTTATTCTCAAGGTCAACATCCACTTTCTGAAGGTCTATTTCTTTAATTGCTACTTGAGATTGGTCAGCCACTAATTGAGCATCAGTGTGAAAACCCATTTCAGGACCCTGGGATTCACAGTTCATATCCATAAGGTCAGCATTCTTCTCCTTCAGAAGATTCATCTTCACAGCAGCCCTCTGGGATTCATCTGCAACTGTCCCAAGTGAGACACCACAATCAAGATGTGCTTTAGCACTACTGGGTTTACGCTTCTTATGTTTTAGGTGGACTTGTCTACCTTTCAGGTTTCTTCCTTTGACAGTCAGTTGCGTGTGATCAAGAGAAACATCACAATCAAAACTTGTTTCAGAACAACTTGATCCATAGTTATCAACCAAGCCAGTATAAGCCTTCTTCCGAAGTTTTGTTTCTGTGACAGCCACTGAGGGTCGGTCAACCACTGACTGAAGTGGGAAAACAGAATCAGCGCTTAATTCAGAGCTACTAGAACCATAGTTCTTATCAACCAAACCAATGTGCGCTTCCTTAGGAAGGTTTACTTCTTTTACAGGTTGTTGAGGGTAATCATCACTAGTGGACTGAGGTGAAGCATCACAATCAAAATTCGTTTCAGAACTACTAGATTCATAGCTTTGGTCAACCAGGCTAATACGCATGGTATTCTGAAGACTTATTTGGGATTGGTTGGTAACCAACTGAAGAACATCATCACAATCAGAACTTACTTCAGAAACATTAGATTTGTTATTCTTATATGGTACAGCAGCACGTACTTTCTTGGAAAGGTTTATTTCTTTGGCATTCACTTTAGATTGGTCAGTCAGTGAATAAAAAGAAGAACCGCAATCAAAACTCATTTCTGATTCTCTAGATTCATAGTTATCTTCTTGGTCAATTTGCTCTTCTTTCCAAAGATTTAAGTCTTGTGCAGCCTCTTGGGGCTGATCAGATGCTGACTGAAGAGAGCTACAAGCAAATTTCATTGCAGAACTCACTGAGCACTTCTGATCCAAAAAGGCTTTCTTGTTAAAAACCAAATGCTTTTCTTCTTGGGTACGATCCATATTAGAAAAGAATTTGTCATGATGCTTTGGAATAGTATCTTCAAAGATTCCTTTATTAGAAGGCATGTCCATTTTACTCGGGTTTACTGCTAATTTGGAAGGAGACTTAACTTTTAATGAGCCCTTAGAACCCACACGTTCATGGAATTTCAAGCCAGCTGACAAAGTTTTACCCTGAGATTTTACATCTTTCCGCAAAACCAACTTATCTGAATTTATACGTAAAGATTTCCTGTTTGATTCTTTAGGTTTCTGACGTAAAACTGAAGAAGTTTCCAGATGAGATGATGGCACAGGATTTCTAGAGGCCCCATCTGGCTGTTCAAGATAGTTGTCCACTTTGTTTGGGTCACATTTGCTAGCTGAATCCAAATGAACTGCAGGTGGTAAACCAGTTGAATTAGTTGTAACTGGTCTACCATTAGAGTTTTCAGGTAAACAACTAGCAGGAGCATTATAAATCACTGGGGGGCGTACCAAGTTGCTTCCATTATTTGTAGCCTGAGCAGTATCTACTGGATTACATTTTTTCATACTGGCCCCAATTTTATGAACAAACTCCAAAGGCTGCTGCTGTCCCTTCTCCAGTTTTTGAATAACTGACGGTCGAACTGAAACCTCCTTTGTGCCTTCCTGAGATTTTTGGGGTACGGAATGCAACTCTTCGATAGGCTCAGAAGCCTCAAAGGGTCTCTCTTCAGTAGCATCCTCATCCTCAAGCTCATTCTCATCCTCTTCCTCTTGTTCAGAAAAATCATCATCCGAATGTACCACTTCAGACGATGACCCAGTATTCACATATGTCTCATTTTGTGTTGAACTAAAAAGAAAAGGGGGAAACTTATAAACACATTCTAACATCTGTTTAAAACATTAAAATAAAGGCATAATAAATGTTATTTTCTTTCTATTCTGGACTATCCTTAAAGGACAAAGAATCCAGGCTGTCACCCAGGCTGAACACTGCACGGACTACAGGGAGGGAATTACTACAGAAGGTGGAGGTGGCTCCACCAATTGCTCCTTAAATACAAATGGCTCCTAAACTTGAATAAATAAACAAATAAATAAAGCCATATATTATTTTTCAGTTATCAGATTACCAGAGTAGTAAATAGTAAAAAATTTGACATATGTTACTTAACTTTGTATGCTTCAGTTTCTGCCTCCAAAAAAAGGGATTCTCATACTATTTTCCCTCATGAGACTGTTTTGATGAGTAAATTAATTGTTACATGTAAAGAGCATTAAAACAAAAAAGCAGGTTGGCACATAGTAAGCATTCACAAATGTTAGCTATTATTATTCTAAACATATTGTTTTGGTGAGGGTGTAAAGACATAGGCACTTTAATACATTGTTCATAGGAGTATAGATCAGTTAACCTCTGTGAAGGTTACTGGTTAACCTCTATGTAGATTTGAAACCTCTACAAACAGCAATTTGGCAATGTGTATTAAAATTAAGAATGTATATATGCTCTGACCTAGTAATTCCACTTTTGGTTTTCTCATGTGTTTAATGAAGGATGTACAAGAATATTTACCGCTACTTTTGGTGGGAGGGAGGGGTTATAGCAAATGACTAGAATCAACCTGAATACTCAGCAAGTGGGTACTGGTTAATAATTAATGGTATTTAATGGAATACAATATGGTTTTTAAAAATAATAAAGCAGCTCTATTTATACAAATAAAAAGCAACTACTATAAACATTTTTAGTGAAAAGTACGAATACACAGAATGCTACCACTGATGTGAAATAGAAGGGAAGAAAAACAATGTATTTAGAGTATCTGGAGAAGGGCACATACAACGGCAGAAGTGTAGAAGTAACACCACTTGTTGCCTCTAGGGAAGTGATTACAGGATGGGAGCAATTTAAGTTTTACTTTTGAATGTGCCCTATGAATGATGTCTATGTCTATGTATTTCCCATTCAAAAATTTAAATTCCATTATTTTTAAAAAGACTCAAATCTTTCATTATAAAATCAGTCTTTGAATCTCTTCTACCAGTATCAAGACAACGTGCTTGACCAAAGCATTTTAGAGACTGCTCTTTCACGTATATAACCAGCTGACCTAATGATATTGCCATGGCCTTAATCCTTAAAGCCAGGCAAACATTCATTCACGTAACAACCATCTACTAAGGACACTAAGGACTTACTACTACATTACAGGCACTATGCTAGGTACTAAGGCAAATTCAAAAAAAGATAAACTACCTCTTAAGACCATTAAGTAGCTGCAGAGGGCAGACACATAAAAAATAATAACAATTCAAAGTGATAAGCATCATTACATCTAGACTTGCTTAAGAAAAAAAAAAAGATTTAACCATCGCAGCAAAGAGGAGCCTAAGAGACATTACAAGTTAATGTAATATGGTATCCGAGATGGGATTCTGAAACAGAAAAAGAAGTACAACTAAGAAAATCTTAGTTTAAGAAAACTAAGTTTAAGTAGAAACTAAGGAGTCTAAATAAACCATGGACTTAATTAATAGCAGTTCATTACTTATAACAAATATACCATGTTAATGTTAATAATAAAAACCTGGGTGAGAGAGTATTACAGGTGCACTCTGCACTATCTCCTCAATGTTTCTATTAATCTAAAACTGTTTGTTTACAAATAGCCTATAAAAATTAAAAATAGAATAATACCTAAAAATGTATTGAATTTTTCCAATTTGAAATGTCATCTGTCTAAGAGAACATGCACACATGTGTCAGCCATATGCAATTTGCTTTTAGTATAAGTATTGCTGCTACTATCTTTCCCATATAAATTTATTACCTGAAGATTAATTTCAAATTTGGAAAATAAAAAAGTTACCCTGCATCAAAAGTATTGTAGTGTAGCAAAAAAAAAAAAAAAGAAAAAGAAAAATTTTCATACTCCTGAACAATGACATTGCAGGCAACCCACTTTACTCTAGTTTTCCAGAACCCTAGACAATCTTCATTCATCTTAAGGACTAACACAACATTCTCAAAATAAAACCGATTTTGCAACATCAAGAAAAGAAAGAAAAGGGTGAAAAGAAAAGAAGGTAGAATCATAAAATCATTCAGTTGGTAAAATCTCAAGAAAATCATGAACTGCCATCTGGATGCTTTGACCTGCATCTATATCTGTGTGTGTACATGTTTAACAATTAAATCATAATCCACATGTAATTCATCATTTGTAACTATACAACAACAAAAAAGCTCTCTAAAAATCTAACCATTAAGGATTAAAAACCACTCTTTTGGCCAGGTGTGGTGGTTCATGCCTGTAATCTCACCACTTTGGAAGACTCAATTGGGAGCATCACTTGAAGCCAGGAGTTTTAGGCTAGCCTGGGCAAAATAATGAGATCCTGTTTCTACAAAAAATTTTAAAAGTAAGTTAGGTGGCCAGGCATAGTGGTTCACGCCTGCAATCCCAGCACTTTGGGAGGCTGAGACAGGCAGATCACAAGGTCAGGAGTTCGAGACCAACATGGCTAACACGGTGAAACCCCACCTCTACTAAAAAATAGCAAGGTAGGGTGGCACACACCTGTAGACCCGGCTACTTGGGAGGCTGAGGCAAGAGGATCTATTCAGCCTGGGAAGTGGAGGTTGCAGTGAGCCGAGATCACACCACTGCACTCCGGCCTAGATGACAGAGCAGGACTCTGTCTCAAAAAAATAAAATAAAATAAGCCAGACATGGTGGTACATACCCATAGTCCCAGATACTTGACAGACTGAAGCAGGCGGGTCACTTGAGCCCAGGAGTTTGAGACTACAGTGAACTATAATCACACCACTGAACTCCAGCCTGGGCAACACAGTGAGACCCACAAACAAACAAAAAACAGCTAAACTCTTGAGCTAAAAAGAAAAATTCCTGAGCTAAAAAGAAAAAAAAAAATTTAATTATCTAAAAGAAATAAAATCTATGAGATATGGCCAAAATAAAAATGTTATACTTTTAAATGCTTCCATTAAGAAAAGAATTCATAAATACAACTGGGCACCCAATTTAAGATGAAAAAATAACAACAAATTGCTCGCATAAGCAAGTAGATGAAATATATTAAGAAAAGGAAAAAATTACGATGAAACAAAAATAAAGCAAGAGCTGATTTTCAGGAAAGCTAAAACAATAGAAAAACAATGTCTAGACAAGGGGGAAGAGAAAGAATTTTTTCAAATCATAATCCTATAATTTAGAAAGCTTGTATGTATATAATAAAATACTACTGGCATGGGATTTTTAAAAAAGGAAACAAAGTGGTGTTCAAAATGAGATATATGAACACATATATACACAAACACGAGAACTTAGGTTATGACCCAGGTGGTGGCATTTTATATCAGCAGGGATAATTAGAGATATAAGAAGTACTTGTCAGGCACAGTGGCTCACACCTGTAATCCCAGCAACCTTGGGAGGCCGAGGTGGGTGCATCACCTGAGGTCAGGAGTTCAAAACCAGCCTTTCTAACATGGTGAAACCCCACCTCTACTGAAAATACAAAATTAGCCGGGTGTGGTGGCGCATGCCTGTAATCCCAACTACTTGGGACGCTGAGGCAGGAGAATCGCTGGAACCTGGGAGACGGAAGTCACAGGGAGCCTAGATCTTGCCACTGCACTCCAGCCTGGGCAACAAGAGTGAAACTCCGTCTCAGAAAAAAAAAGAAGTCCTGTCTCATACCACATATTAAAACAAACTCCAACATGATTACAAATACTTTAAAGACAAAACAAAGGCATGAAGAAAAAGGTATAAAAGGAGCCATAAACAGAAATTCTCCTTACACCTGATTAAATAAAAATTTTAATTTCTGTATGATAAAGAATAACATAAACAGTTAAAAGACAAACAATAGGTTCTGGAAAAAAAAAACCTCTAACACATTTAAAGTGCAAAGGACTATTATTCATACTCAAATATTGCTAACAAATCCAAAATATACAAATAACAATAGAAAAATGGGCAAAGTATATTAACAAACATATCATAGAATAAAATATGGCCAATGAATATACGAAAAAGTTCTACCTGAAAATAGATTATATGGGATTATCAGTATGTATATCTACACGTTTTTGGCCTATTATGTTGGGAGGGAAAAAAGAAGCTTATAATCCGTGTTAGCAAAAACTCCCTGAATCCTGCTCAGAGAGCCCGTTTTAAAATTGCAGAAACCAAAAAACTAAGAAATTACATTGATATCATACGAATGGCTAATCTATAGACCTTGTTTAAATTTTGCTGGCTGTCTTAACTCATGTCCTTTTCTTGGACCAGGAGCCAATCCAGAATCACACGTTGCATTTCATTGTCAATATCTCCTTAGTTTTCCTTCACCTTAAATAGTTCCTCAGTTTTTCTCTGTTTTTAAGCCTTGATGCTTTATTTATAAAGTTCTGGTCAGTTAATTTATGGGATAGCCTTCAATTTGTGTCTGCCTGATATTTTCTTATGATTAAATTTTAGTAATTCATTTTGGGCATGAATATCTTAGAATTGATGTTGTGCCCTTCTCAGTATATAGAATCAGGAGACACATATGTTGCCATATCATTTGGGTGATGTTAGCTTGAACCACTTGATTAAGGTCCTGGCTGCCCAGTTACTCCACTGTGAAGTTACTGTTTTTCCTGTTGTAATTAACAAGGATCATTTGGGGAAGAACTTTGAGACTATGTTACTATCCTGTTTCTTATCTTACTTTTACCCACATATTTTAGGGAACTATTAATGATCCTTTAATCAAAATTGTACCAAGAAGAAGAGCTTTTTTTTTTTTTTTTTTTGAGACAGAGTCTCG